TTTTTTCCTTTTTTTTTTTTTTTTTTTTTTTTTTTTGAGAGAGAGTGCACGCTACGACAGACATTTGCATTTATCATGTTTTTAACTTCTTTTCTAAGGATGAACTCTCTGAATCTGCATCTTCCAAATCCGCTCTGTGTCTTTTCAGTCCTCCAAGAGATTGAGTACTCTCACTGCCTGTAGGATGCAAGTCAGCAGATTCCTCTCTTGTGCTCACATTGTAGGAGTCCATTTCAGACAGGCAGCAGTCTTTGTGCAAGGTCACACCCATCTGTACAAGGTTGCCATTATCTGCATTTGAGCGCACCTGTAGTCCTTGTGTCACAGTCTCCTGCTCTCCAAAACTCTGTCCATTGTTGAAGCATGAAGGGCGAAGATGCAAGTGGCCGTTGTTGTGGTTAACACAGGAGGTGTCGAGGCTCCTCTCCTCACTGTCATCAGTCTGGTTTCTGGAGCAGTGACCTGACATGCTACAGATGGCGACAGTGGAGAACGGAGGGACCAGTGAGTGATGGCTTGCTGCTGGTTGACAGTTCTGACTATTTTTCTGTTCCACAAGTCCTGCAGTCTGAATGCATGGTTCTTCAGTACAACTATTTAGCCCTTTGCAGTTAGCTTTTCCATTGAGCTTTTTAGTCTCAAAAGAATGCTCTATACCTCCACTGCTAGTGTCTTCAGATGTGTTTTCTTGACCCTCCGTCCGCCGCTGATTGTCACATTCGTGAGCTTGACCATTACTAGAATTTTCTATCAAGCCACATTCTTTGAAAGTTTCTTTGTTGTGGCTTTCAGTAGAATGAGCTGGGGAACCTTGAGGAACTGCTGAACTCAAGTTCCTAGCATCTTCCTTATTTAGCAAGTGTGTTGTACTGTGCCTTCCACTAGTTCCTGGTTTCCCTTCGTCATTCTCCCCATCTCCTCTGGAGGACTCACCATCTTTATTAGCTGAATATGATATGTAAGAATAATGAAGCCATTTGTAAGCTTTGTAAATCTTTCTCTCCACTGATTCACTGTCTGAACAAGGAGAGGTCCTTTCTTTGAGAACTTCTTTGTTGGCTGAACTCCTTTCTGGTGAAGAAGCTGGAGAAGAAGATAGATCATCTACTTTGATCTGGGGATAATCATAGATATCCTCACCTATGTAGGGTGTCACATTCTCCGTGTTAGTACTAGTCCTTTCCTCCTTTTGCACCTTCTGTCGGCGCCTCAGTGCATTGCGTTGCCTCATAGATGTGCGTCGTTCATTCAGTTCCTCTTCATCTTCTGTACTGCTGCTGCTGCTGGAACTGCTGGATTCATTCTCCTCAGGACTTGGGGACCGTGGCCGTGGGAAAAGGTCTGTATCTAGTTCTGCCTCACAGGTATTGTCATCAGAATCAGACTCATTCGACAGGGCCAGGAGACGTTTATCCTGATACTTTCTCAGCGCAGAGAGTCTCTGCTGACGGGAAGCCACGTCTTCTCTGGCTGAGGGGGATTCAGTTGATCTTAAGGCCCTTAAGTTATAGGCAGTTTCATCAGACTCTTCAGCCACATGTGGTGGGGAGTGATGCAAAGAGGCGGAGGACTCTGACTCACTGTAAGCAGAGCGTTCACTTACTCCTGCATGGAGCTGCAGGATCGTGCTCTCACTGAGGTCGCTGTCTGAGTCAGAACTCCAGCCCTCAATCTCCCGGCGCACCAGGGAGTCAAAAAAGGCCATCATCCGTGGATCTTCCTGGACTGACTGGTTGGCATAATCATGGGACAAACCACTACCACTGTTCAACACAAGACTGATGTACTCTTCGTGAGTGTAGAGGCAACGGGAATCATCCTCAATTCTACCATCCAGATCCCCTGTGCAGTCAGGCTGTTTGTAAGGACTCCAGATCTGTAACAGAAAATAAAAAAAAATGCATTTGTCTTTGAATTCATAAACTGCTACAAGCATTTGAAATAGAACTGTAGCGCAAATACCCAGAACAATCACAAGTGGCAGATTATTTTTATTAATTTTTGCCCCTCAGACCCATACTTACAAGTATTCCAGAGATGTGGGGGTTTTTTTCTCCCCCTTTACAAATGTTTTTTTCCTGCATCTGCTTCACCCAACCAGAACTTAAAAGCTCTCACACTGCAGATTATCCATCATTTCAATATTTCAGTGTGTAGTAATTTCTCCCAAATTGCAGGGCTCTATTTTTATGTAATAGGAGATGCTTACTCACTAATGGCAAGAATAGTTCGTTGCCTACAATACAGTCTTGGCACTAACGAAGGCACTTGTTTCCCAGGAAACTAGAGTTGCTTGTGCCAGTGATGTAGAGTAACATTTCATCCAGCTGCAGTGTCAGTCACACCTGATCAGCAGGCAGGGAGCTGAATACATGGAGGTGAAAAGCAGGCCTGCATTACTCCCTTTAGGGAACAGTCATGAAAGAAAGCAAGCATCCAACATCCTCTCAAGACACAGCAGCAGTTTTAGTTAGTGGGGAAAGGTGAAGGAGAAGCGTTTTACTGAAAGCTACTTTTGAAGCGGAGAGAGGTAGTAACGTTGCAAAGTGTAACGATTTAACCAATAGCAACAGCCTTGACTGTGCTGTCCACCTAGCCTTCCCTCAGTTTTCCTGGTGGGGAACGGAAAAGAAAAAAAATAAAAAATAAAAAAAAATTAAAAAAAAAAAAGAAAAAGCCCCAAAGAAGATCCACAGATATCCCTAAGAAACTGGTAATCCATAGCAAACATAATAGTTGGATCTCCTCACCTTTCTCAGTTTTACTTACAGGTTTGGGGGCAATATGATTAAGGCACTCACTGGACAACCACGATCACTTTATTCTAGATCGATGGTTAACGTACTGCACAACACTTACTGTAAGCAGAGCTAGTATGTAGCCTATCCACAATACTGCCTTAATGTTCTGCTTATAAAATATCTGATTTCAGTCATGCTTTGGTTTTTCCATGCTAACAAGCTCAGGAAAAAAAAAATCTGTGCCAGCTGTCTATACCAGGTTGGCCTTTTGGGATAGACTTTGGCAAAAACATCTAACTCTGTTCCCAATAGAAATTAGTCAGGTTTTGTTCCAAGTAGACAACACCGCTAACAAAATGTGTTTTGCCTGTGTAAATGGGATAATCAGCACTCATCTCACAGATGCACAGTTAACACATGCAACATAATCTGATACTACCATGACAAGCACTATAAAAAAAACCCCACGAGAATGCCAGTGACTCTGCATTCACAGAGATTTTCAACAGTGTACATACAGTAAGACCTTACACCTTTAATACTGGAAGTAAACCAAACCAAATTATTATTGGAAATAAACCAAAATAAATTAATAACTATTAGTTGTTCAGCACAGCCAAATTTAAGATGTACAGGTAACCTTTATTCTGGAATTCTCCCAAACTTGAATGCCTTTACTTTGCAACCTCTGCAATTTACGGTTAAGAGACCTTCCACATATGATCTGGCTATGTACATAAAAGAGACACTATTCCAAAATTAAGGTGGGCTGCAGATATACCTTTTTCTCTATGGCAATCATCAAGCTGCCTTTCAGAGCAAAGACAGAGGAATCTTACATTGCATTACATTAGCCTGTTCTTAGGAACGTGTCTCAATATCAAGGTGTATTCACTATTTGCACTTAATTGCTATTTTTATTATTTGCAGTACTTAAGCAAATTCTCTTCCAGTACAGTTCATTAATATAATACTTAAAATGAGAAGGAAGACAGTCTCTGTTGTTTGGCTCAAGCACTGCATTTACTAGACATATAGCTCAAGGGAAAAGCATCAGGTTTGGATAAAGATAACAAAGCCCAACCTAAGCCCACTATGTATGGACTTCCATCAACCATTCTTAACCTTTTTGAATTATTCAATAGAACAGAAAGAATCTCTCTTCATCCTCTAATTACTTCCCATGCTCCACTTCCTAAAGACAAGGTAGGAAAGAGTCTTCTGTCAGTTGGATGCGTGAGAGAGATTGTTCATTTGGGGATACACCAAGTGTTTGAATAGAAAAATAGAACTCTACTTCCTCAAAGGACTATTCTGCGTTGCTGCCTTCTTGATGATTTAACTAGCACATGTTCAGTACCTTCTCTCACAATTTATCAGATCTTTTCCCTTCTGTCCCACTACTGGGCATTTCAGCAAGTAGATCAGATCTTTTTGTATTTAAGAAGCATATACCTTCTTGTAAATGCTTCACACTGTATGCCTGGACAAGCAGGCTGGCATGCCCCTTCCTCAAATAGTCTTACTAGTGTTAGATTGATCACAAGGTTTAGAAAACTGGTTTTTTAAGCAAGAGAATTAGAAAACTCTTAGATTCTGTATGAACCAATATAAAGGGAGGAGAGGTAGTCTGCTCTGAAGTCCCTCTGGGAAAGGTCTGTTTTGTAACGAAAAGTCATCTAAAAAGGCACATAAAGCATGCACAGAGAGATTCCACATCCTTGTTAGTGCTACCAGATCTTTCTGCTCACTCTGCAAGCATCAGAGAAAAATACAGCAGTGTTAAATATTGAAAAGATAGCTACAAAGAGTCTATAATGAGGCTTTTCCCTTCCGAGACAGATTTGTTCAGAGAGAAGGAGTAAATAATAAAGAGAAGTCAAGGGAATTCAGGATGAATACCTGTTTGTACAGGATCAGATGTCTCTGGAGATCGATATTCCTACCTTTTAGACATTTTGCCATGAGGAAGTGCAAGGGCCTGCCAGAGTCCCAGAAAGAAGTCAGATTAAGCATGCCCCATTGGCAGAATGGGGAAGTCTTTAAACTGGCATCAACTGGTCCAGTGCTCTCTGTGGCATCTGAAATGGGCTTCTTTGTAAATGGAATGCCTTTGCTTTTTTCTCATCCTCTGACTGATGCCATGTTGAGGAAGAATGTGAGCAAATTGGAGAAAATAAGTTGGCAACTCATCCCACTGAGGCAACAATCTATCAAGAAGTTCTTTCTCTGTTGGAGGATTAAGGAGCTGAATATTACTCACTGATGCCCCGAGTATGGATGTAAAAATAGGAACAATAACAGAAAAGGGCAGTACAAAATTGGTTCTCTACTTCAGCAGAGATGCTTCAGAGAGCATCTTTGGATCGCTTGTATTCCACAGTGGCAAACCCCCAAATTTAAAACAAAAAAGTTGTTATGCCCATAGCGTGAGAATAATTAAAACCAGCTATATTAGATTATCTGATTAGGCAGAGGCAGCTAGCCACAATGACATTAATCTGTCACCATAGCAACATGGGCAAATAGACTTTGCTATCTTTGATATAGTGATCATTTTTAAACAAATGGGCCCTACAACAGTTGTGCTCCAAACCACAGTTACAGAGCATTCCATTTCCAATACAAAACAGTATTTCTTTCTGAAAATCCTTATGCACTTTATCTATTTTATCTTTCCTGGAACTGTCTTCTAGCTGCATAATTCTCCATGGCCCTCCTCTAAGCCCCACACATCACAGGGAAAGTCTCATTTATTTCTCCTGCAATGCAATTAATTTTCCTGCCAGCATATCCCAATGTCTCACACACTTAACTGAGGAGAAAGTGGTATTTTTCTATTTTATATTGCTTTAGCCCTCGTGGCGAATGCTCGCTGCAAATTATAATTTTAGTTCACAGCTGTGCTTTTCCATACCATTTTACTGAGGTTCAGGTTTCTGAAATGGAGGGCAATGAGCAATTCATCTGGGTTGACGTGTCCAGCACACAGTCTGGAGTCAAGGCTTCTAGTATCCTTTATTAATGAGCTTGTTGAGTCTTATTTTAGGTTTCTGAAACCTCCCTACTTGAATATTCACACACACCCCCCTCATCTTACCTGCTGTACTCTCAGTCCTAGCAGAAGTCAAACCCTAAACCACTGAGTTACTGAATTATATTCTTGCAGGTGTTTTACAACAAAATAAAACTAAAGCAAAAAAACCCATAACCACGAAGGTCAAAATCATTCTTGCGAATACTATTCATTTCAGCTGGGCTAGGCCTAAGATGAATTTGTATCTCATTTGCAACCAGCATTAAAATAACAAGTGTGCTGGCAGAAGCATGTGGAATTACTGAATGGCTTGTCTGTATCATGCCTTGATGCTGGTGCTATCAGTTCCTCACTTCTAGAAGTACTAAATTTAAGCCAGCTAGCCTAAAAATTAAGGGCTCAGACAAACAACTACTTGCATCACGGAGTTTCTACAATTGAGGGAATGGAATACCAGCCAACCACAGTGAAGTTATCTTCTGTGATTTAATTCCAGAAAGATTTTAGAAGGCACTTGAAGGATGGTAAAGGAAGAACACTTCTTAAGAAAGTGATTAAAACAAACAAACAAAACAAGAAAACATAAAAAACGTAACTACAATTTTACTTATGGCTCTTCCTCTTGTCATCTCAACTTCTCTGAGCAAGCACATCAAGCATTCATATGGGGGAAAGATAGCCATGCAAGGGAAGGACTTGTGTTCCCAGCTGGTTTTAATGCAGTAAATAGCCCCTCAGAACTGCTGGTGGTGTTTTTCCTGTTTTGCCCTTCTGCTAGTGGCAGTTACTAGCCTCCAGCCTATCTGCAGAAGTAGCTGGAATGAAGAAGAAACCATCATTGTATGGTCACCTGCAAACTGCTGTTCACTAAGACAGTACCTTTAAAGAGTGAAGTCATGCAGATCAGACAAGATATGAGCCTCAAAACAACCTGATCCCCAAACAAGGCACATTACAAGCTGAGACAAAATGACACACAACAAAAGGGTAAGACATTCTGGCTCGCTGATAAACTTAATACATTAAACACCTTTCCCTTAATTTGTTTCTAGCTTGCAATGTTTGCAGAATTCAGTTCCCTCAAAGCAGCTACATGAGTTCCATTGCACATACTGTGACACAACAGGCGTTCTCTTCTAAGGAAGCATTCAAGCAGAGGTGTCTTTGAAAGAGTTACACAACCTGTGGCTGGGGCCTTAATCGAACTAACCTTTTAATCACTAGGCAAAAAAACCCCGCCAAAACCCTAGCAGGAGTACACAAAAGCAACACAGGGGATGTTTATACCAATGCTAATCCAACAGTCTAAGCACACTCATGCAGGAAGGATTCATAGGGTGAAGGGTCAGCAGATCTAAAATCCAAAAGGGAGAATTCAGGCTGCAAGAATCAAGTTCCCAAAGCAAAAAAAAAAATGCCTCTGCAAAAATGGTTGTTAAACAGTGGCAATTTGACTGCTTGAAAATTGAAAAATCAGTGAGCTGCTAAGACTGTTCAATGAACTTTTGTTCAAAGCCTGTACTTGACAGATTTGTCACCAAACCTATCAGAGGGGCACAGATGAAGAAAAAGGTAGAAAGGGAAACTAAAGTACCAGAAGATAAAGAAAGCTGAACCCAAATGCTGATAGTAGCTGTAATGCAAGCGATGCAGCTGGGCATTGGGCCACGGTCCTAAGGGTTTGGGCCAGTTCTGGTCCATAAGTTGCAGACCACTAAAACACTCCTTTGCAGTACAAGTTCATTCAGTCAACTAGTGGCTGACTAAAATATTTACTAATACTCAAACGACCTCATTTATAGCCACATGCAGGTAAGACTGCTATGAAGTCATTCAACAAATAGTTAGAAGCAGCATCAGTTCTCATTTTCCTACTTAAAAATTAAATTGTTCTGGTTTCTTTCATCTTGTTGATAGACCTAAATTATAGCAATATTTCTATGGCAGCAGAATGCCACAGAAGTCCACTAGTGTAGCATAATCCTCCGCCTCCCCACCCTCAACTTCTGCTACTAGAAATGACAAAAGTTTCTGCCTTGCCTCCAGAACTTTGGCTGTCTTTCCTTAAGAAAATAGTTTCAGAACCCAACAAAGTTTGTTATCTCTTTACATTCCACATAAAAAGGCACAAACTTTCTAAAAATACTGTACATTGTTAGAAGATTCAGAAAAGACATATTGTGGAAGGTATTAAGAGTCCTGTTTCCTCTGTAAGCCAAAGAAAGGTATGTTGAATTGATTCAATGCAGAAGTGCGTACAAAAATTATAGAAGGGCTCCTGAGGCACTATCTGGGCCAAATCCAGCTAGGTCAGGCTAGGCCAAGGCTCAACGATACACTTTGGAGAGATTTTTATTAAATTTTAGCTGAAAGTATCAGAAGTCTTAGGAGATCACATTACAGTGACCAAACTCTCCCGAGAAAGACTGTTTGCATGATACTTCAGTTAGGTACGGAATGATACTGGAAAAAAATTCCTTTTTCAAAGTACAAATCCAGGAAATTCTGATCTTATCCCTCACCTCTAAAACCTTTAAAATTGAAACAGAGTTTAGAGTTGAAATACCCAATGAAAAATTTGCATCAGTTTAGCCAGCAAACAAGACATACCACTTTAAAAAAAGAACAAGATTAGAAGACAGGATGGGTGTGGAAAAGAACAAAACAAAGCATTTCTTCCTGAAATATTGGAAGAACACATTTTCTGATGATTAATCTTACCTTTATAATCTTTTCAACACCAGAAGAACAGATCATGTAAGTGTGAGGATTAAACCGGACTTGGTTTACAATTGACCGATGACCTTTCAATACCATAAAAGCACCATTGACGACCCTGCCAATGCCACCTAGGGGAAAAACAAGCACACACTGAAATGAATAATTACATCTTCATATTGCTTTCATTCATAATCATTTAAAGTCGTGTTATATTTGACAATGCTTTTCAGCTTTATTTTGCAATATTTTAAGGCCTGCGTTGGCTGCAGAATTCCAATTTTATGAGCAATGTCCCTATAAAAAGCTACAAGTTTGATGAAAAGCATCCTTCCTGCAAACTAGGACTTGGAAGCTAGCTTTAGTTCAACTATCTAAACAAACAATTAAGGTTTTTGACCTAATATGACAACTATATGAATAAGAACAACATACATACTTAATGAAATCACCAGTGAAACCATAGTGCATAAGGCATGACACTACTCACAGTTTGTAAATTTGAAGTAGAGACAAATAAAGAGGTTGACTTTTTTTAACAGCTATACTCTATTTTTTTAATTTGTTTTTTAAAATCAGCAATTCATTAGTGCCACAGTTAACTCTAGTCTGATGGGTAGGAATCTAAAGGAGGCAATCTTCAAGGCTACTAACCTGAGTTACTACATTACAGCTGGACTTAGTATAGCCTTCCCTAGACTGGGATCTATAACAACTCATATTTCTGTGAATCAAGCTTAGAGGGACCTGAAGTAACACACCTGACCAGTGGGTTATATCATTCTTTGTCACAAGGCAGGGAATTAGCTGAAGTGGAATGCTTTTGTGCTAATGGTAAAACTCAAAACAGAAGCCAGACAACTTTTCTGCTTGGTCATTTGCTCTTACTAGGTCTATACACCAAAGCAAGAAACTGTCACACAGAAATTTTTTTATGTTCATAGATTCACACAATTAAAACCATAAATTTGTTAGAAAGCACACCTGTGTATCTGAATAAACAAGTGTCAATCAACATGCTATGATTAACATCTTCAGTGAAAGAAACCAAAAATTTTAAAAGAGGGGAAGTAAAGACTGAAAACCGCTTCAGAGGAAAACAATCTTGCTATTTACAACTTCAAAGGTCATAAGCACATCTTACAGAAAGTTAAAATCATTTCATTAGCTTCTGTGCTACTTATAGTCATCTTAACACTAAACAAGTAAACTTTATGTTCTTCTTGCTGAAGATGTTTGCTATCCTTTGTCCTCAGCAGAAGCTCTTTCAGCTGAAATAGCTGCTGGTTTAGATCCTAAGCCCAATGTTGAAGAGCTTGTCTTCCAAAATAGAGTCAGAGTTCTCCTGCAACACACATTTCTTAAAGAAAAACTTGCATTAACACTGAAAAGTAGCAAGGCAGAAGGGTCAAAAAAAAAAAAAAAAAGACAAAAAAAAAGAAAAGGCATACCTGTATCACCTTCCATTTGTTAGGTTACGTAAATGAAAAAGAACTGCCGCTAGCAAGCTTGTGTTCAGCCCCTCTCCTCTTCGAAAAAGTGCTCATTGTAACTATGCTCTGAAGACCAGACTGATGTGTACACAGTGTACAAACAGCGGTAAGGATTCAGAGGTGAGGAGTCATCCAACCCTAAAAATCTGCCGACAGACCTTTTTACCACTTCTGGAAAGTGTTCCTTCTGTTTGCACAAATCAATTTTTGCAGACCAAACTGCAGTCTCATGGCACTTTGGGATAGAAAGGTAACATGCCTGAAGAAGGGAAGAGAGATGGCGAGTAACTCCAAGGACCAAAAGGCATGGCCATTTCAAAGACTTTGTATATAAAATGAAGGCTCATTGAAAATTAAAAAAACCTGAAAGAACTATCACTCCAGTTAGCTTCCACATATATTCATTGAAACAGCACTGAGACTGAGCTACCTGGAACTGTTCCTCTATATGGGTACACTGATTTTCTGTAAAGGTTCAGAGATAAATTCTGCCTTCAGCTACTGCAGCAAAATTTCACCAGTGTAAGCAAAGCTGACTGTGAAGTAACTGATCGGAGACCAAGTTCATTAAATGCCAAATTGGGCAAAATCAAAAGAGATTTTCTTTTCCATTTTATGAGATTCCTCACATCCTTTCATTGTGCTCACCCTGCTAGACATTCATGACCACATTTATGGCTGATGGCAAGTTGCCCTACTCCCACAGCATTCCTTCCAGCCAAATCACAGTTGTCAATCCAAGTGCATCTATCAAGCCAACGGTAGATGGTTACATCAAGTCCAGTTCTCAACGCATTTATCTTGACCTAGCAGACGACTGTTCCAGGAAAGGGGGCCTCGGGAATGAAGAGACAATTTGCTTAGGAAATGTTTCCAAGTTTGTAAGTAATGCCTATTACAAGTTTTAACTATCCATGGACTCTAAGCTGCCTGAATTCAGTACAAAACAAGAAATATGCCCTATGAAACACTCACAAAAGAGTCAGAAGTTAGAGAGACAATGAGCAAAGAAAGAATTATTATGGAGATGAAATACAAATTTAGGGCACCAATATCTTGGGCTGCATTTCCAAGCCAGCCATTGACCTCTTGTGGCACTGTCAGCAGTGTGACTATTTTCTTAGTAAAGCAGTGATAACAGTTATTTAATGCCAGAACTGTCTTCTGGCATTAAACTTGGTGTGTATCAATACACCAAGCACTGGATGACAAGTGCACAGCATGCCATGTCTAGAACACAACTCTCCCTAGGCTGTAGTCAAATTCAGACAGCGTCTGAAGCCCAGAAAGCCAACCATATCCTGGGCTGCATAAAAAGCAGCATGGCCAGCAGGTTGAGGGAGGCAATTCTCCCCTTCTACTCCACTCTGGTGAGACCCCACCTGGAATACTGTGTCCAGCTCTGGGGTCCCCAGCACAAGAAAGACATGGACATGCTAGAGCGAGTCCAGAGGAGGGCCACAAAAACGATCAGAGGGCTGGAACACCTCTCCTATGAGGAAAGGCTGAGAGAGTTGGGGTTGTTCAACCTGGGAAAGAGAAGGCTCCAGGGACACCTTAGAGCAGCCTTCTAGTGCCTGAAGGGGGCCTACAAGAAAGCTGGAGAGGGATTTTTTACAAGGGCATGTAGTGATAGGACAAGGGGTAATGGCTTTAAACTGAAAGAGGGTAGATTTAGGTTAGATATAAGGAAGAAATTCTTTACTATGAGGGTGGTGAGGCGCTCGAACAGGTTGCCCAGAGAAGCTGTGGATGCCCCCTCCCTAGAAGTGTTCAAGGCCAGGTTGGATGGGGCTTTGAGAGCAACCTGGTCTAGTGGAAGGTGTCCCTGCCCTTGGCAGGGGGGTTGGACTAGATGATCTTTAAAGGTCCCTTCCAACCCAAACCATTTCTATGATTCTATGAAGTAACTCCAAAGCTTTCTGCTCCAGTACTGAAGTTCCTTAAATTCCTTTTAAGCTGTTAATAGTATAATCAGAAGCAGCATAGTACTAGAACATACTTCAGTCCTCTCAGAGTGAAGGTGAACTTTGCTACAAAGGCCCTTAAAACAACTAACTGCCCAATTACAGGAAAAGTCCCCTGGTAGCAGATTACTGCAATCACAAAGCTTAGCAGTCAGCTTTTTCCAGTAGTACGAGCGGTTTTAATTATTTAAACCAAAAAGTATTGACTCCGGCAATACTCTGATGATCTTTGTGTCAAATATGATAGACTGCCCCAAAATGCCATTTTTGGACAACCCCTTGCCTGATGCAATTTTAGTCTATCACCTCCTATGCACTTAAGTGACGTCTCTAAGAGTTTAATGCAGAGCCTTCTTCTATATCCTTGTCCTGACAGTGGTCCCTTCACTTTATAGTAGCCCAGCAAAGTTGGTATCATATTACATGAGTATCTGCGTGGCAGACATTTGCTTGTGTCCAGACTTGTCTGGAATCCCCCTGGTCTCCCAGCAGAGGCTTAGCTGCAGCCATACAGCTTCTAGCCATCTCACAGTATGATTTAAATTTGCTCATGTCTGCTGGCAAAAAAAAAAAGTACATCTGTACATTAAGTGGAGGTCAGCCATAAACTGCTCAAATTCCTGAGGCCATCTTCCTTTTTTGCGTGTAATAATTTCTATTTCTTTTTGCTGTCTTCACTTGAACTGGTGTTTTTATTTGTATTCTTTCACCAGAATTGACCTCTGCTATCCCAGCAAAACTCAAATTTTGCTTTTGAGGTTTGGGGTTTTTTTTTTAAGGGGATGGGGGTGTTGTTTATTTGCTTTTGAATTTAGTGGCATGCACAGGTCCTGCAACTGGTTTAGCATGGCAGCTTTTATATTCTTAGATAGCTGCCATGTGTATAAGCAGTGTTTACACAGAAGCCATTAGCTTACATGTATGTTATTAATAATACAAAAAAAAAAAGTATTAAAGTCTTCAGAGGCTGATTAAGCTGATTTTAGAAGGTTTCTAACTTTCTAACCTCTAATGACTGGAGAGAGGGGATGGAGATATATTAGCTGGTTTTGTAATACCTTCCAAAAATTGCTATGCTTAAAGACAGTTCTGAGTAGTGGTTTAGTGTTCTAGCTCTGCTGGTCAATATTTTTTTGGTCTGCTTTCATTTGATGCACAAAGTGAAATGTCAAGAAAATCCCTCTTCCTCTATACCCTGCAAGTAAGTGCTCCAAAGAGGAGCAATACAAAGTCTTAAAAAATTCTTTAAATAATGTCCTACTATGATATCTGACCAGCTGGTAGAAATAACTTATAAAAGGCTAAATCTGAAGAGTACATTTTAAAACAGATTTCGTCTACACATTTGACAAGAATACCATGGCAACACAAGGCATATCTACAGGCTCTGATTCAGACAGAAAGAATAATACAGTGCTTTGAAGTAGTAGATGTCTACTAAGTTGCCAAAGTGATTACTTCTTGGTTTGCTTTATTATTTTGTATTTTAAATATTATGTTAATGAAAACCTTATTAATTATGCAGCTTTGCAAATATTTATGCAAATGAGCTGACACTTAACATATTGAGAACATAGTGGATGGTACATACCAACACATTTTAAAAAACTCTAGTAAATAATACTGAAGGAGAGTGAGAACCAAAAAACCCAAACAGAAGAATGAATTATT